GCTGGGGCTGAATCCCGCCGTTCCCCACAGAAGGGGCCTGGGAGGGGGTCACAGCAGCACCGTCGACCACCCGCTCCCACTTGTGTGTTGCAGATGAACCGCCCCATCCAGGTGAAGCCGGCTGACAGCGAGGGCCGAGGAGGTAGGTGCCCCCTTCCCTGGTTGCCCACCACAGGCCAGGGGGCTCAGGATCACCCCAGGGGGCCACAGGGAGGTTGCCAAACCCACTCCCCTCCTTCAGGAGGTGGTTTCTGTTTGACTTGACAACACACAAGCCCTATTCCCTTAACACATTTTCTTGGGAGTATAACAGAGGGAGTCGTCTCCTGCCGTTATTTCGTTCTTTCCCCTGCGATGCTCTTGACAGGGCACCTCGTTTTCTTTGTCAAGTGCCATCAGCATGCAGCTGCACAAAGAGGGATGCTGGTCATAATAGTGGAATTCTCATTATTTACTCTCCCTCCCCTCGTGGTCGGGATATTTATGTCCCCTGGGCACGGCTGGAGGCCGCGGGTTGTTGGTCGTAAGAAGTCGGTCTTGGGCTCTTTGTTCACCATCCACATCCCCGCACTGGGGGCATCGGCTCTTCCTGGCTTTTCCTGACTTTTCCCGGCTTCTCCCCTGGGCCCTTTCCCCGCAGGGGAGGTTTGGTGGGCCGGTGTCATAGCGGCGTCGTTCCGTCCCCGCGCCCCCGCGTTCCCCAGCTCTTCCCCTTCCACACACCGCATGCTGAGCAGGGCCGAGGGGGTGGCTCGGCCGGCGGCATCCCGCTCGCCGACGGGCTCGGGTTTGCTTTTAGAAGACAGGAAGCTCTTTGTGGGCATGCTGGGGAAGCAGCAGAGCGAGGATGACGTCCGGCGCCTCTTCGAGCCCTTCGGCCAAATCGAGGAGTGCACCATCCTCCGAGGGCCTGACGGAGCCAGCAAAGGTGGGTTCTGGGGAGCCGTCTGAGCGCCCGCGGAAGGTGGGAGGCATCGGGGGCTCCTCCAGCGGCCGAATCCACCCCGGCCCCTCTCTGCCCACAGGTTGTGCCTTTGTGAAATACGGCAGCCACGCCGAGGCACAGGCTGCCATCAATAACCTGCACGGCAGCCAAACCATGCCGGTAAGTGCCAGGCTCTCGCCCTGCCCCATTCGACCCCACGCCTCTCACATAATCCAATCGTCAGCTAATTTGATCCCCTTAATTGGATCAAAATCCTCCAGCCTGGCAATTTGTTGGCCAGATCACCCCGAGGTTTGTCCTCAGCCCAGGAGTGGGTGCGTGGTGCAAATTCCCTCCACGCTGGAGGAGAGGGCTGTTTAATTAGCACCACAGGTCAAAATTGTGGATGAGGAGGGGAAGGAGGAAACAGAGGTTGGGGAGCTGCTGCCGCTGAGAAAAACCAGCTCTAATTAAACCTCCCATTGATCGCTGGTGCCGCTGCCAAGCCAGGCAGCCTCCCTGAGGCCAAGGATGCTGTGGGTGCCACGAGTTGGCGGATCCCTCCCTGGAGCCAGGACACGATCTGGGGCCACTGCTGGGATCCCAGCATCAGCCCCATCTTACCCCCCCCTCCTCATCTCAGGGTGCCTCGTCCAGCCTGGTGGTGAAGTTTGCGGACACGGATAAAGAGAGGACCCTGCGGCGGATGCATCAGATGGCGGGGCAGCTGGGCATCTTCAACCCCATGACCATCCAGTTTGGCGCCTACGGGGCCTATACACAAGCGGTAGGAGTTGGGGAGTGTTTTTGGGGAGGATTTTTTTTTGTGGGGGTGTTGGTTTCACCCTTAAAAACCTGCGTGGAGTTGTACCGGTGCCAGTGGAGTGCCGGTCAGGGTCGGCATGTCCCCATTTAGGGAGCACAACCGAGGGTTTCACCCACCTGGGCGAGGGTGGCGTGGCTGTAGGGTGCAGAGGACCTCATTTAGCATCACTCTTGTCCCCAGGTCTGGCGGCGGGTGGTGTTTATCTGTGCATGGGTGGAAAGGGGGTATGCTTCTCTCTTTCTCAGCCTCTTGTTTGCTTCCTCCTTTTCCCCCTTCCCTAAGATCATGCAGCAGCAGGCGGCCCTGATGGCGGCGGCGCAAGGGACCTGCC